ATGTATTAGAATGCTTACAAAACAGCTGGCAAAAGCATGGAGACACTAACATTAAAATATTAACAGAAAAAAAGCATGTTATAGAACTATGTACAGTGAATGATTTCCACCATTAAAAATGCACCCAGTGGGGGAGAGAAGAGAAGGAAATAAAGCAACTGTACTAAAGGCTCTCTTTAGCTATTGGAGGTAGAGATGACGGGTGGGCGGAGAGGGGAGGGAGAGGGGAGCTTTTCTGCATTTTCCAAAATGTCTAAAACGAACATAAATTGCTTTTACAGTTAAAATTACTATTCTTTGCTTTTTTTTTTTTAAGTATATGTTCAAGACAGTCTAATTACAGCTAAATGCTGAGGTCAAGAGAGACATGGGTGCACTCAATGGTACCTCTGCCAACCACAAGCAGCTGCCCAAGGCTATCACCAGTCCCGAATGTTCCAAACCACCACTGACTCTTCTACTCCCTGCTCTGACCAAACACCAGAGTCGCTCCCAAACAGCAGGATCCCCTATTGGTCTTATCACATCTTGAATGATGCTGTAGTGCCTTTTTCACTTGACCACGGCTACCACAGCTCTGTATGGTTAGCAGTTTCAAATAGACAACTTACTCTGCACTTCAGGATGTTCAAATCCAACTCCGTTCAGATCAGGGGATCTGCAAACTCTTTAAACAGTTACATACAAAATTGTACGTGACGACAAATAATTTAATTACAAAATGGGCAAAGGTTTTGAATAGACATTTCTCCAAAGAAGACAGATGGTCGATATGCATATGAAAAGATGTTCAACATCATTAGTCATTAGGAAAATACAAATAAAAACTATAAGATACTGCTTCACGTCCACTAGGGTGGATGTAATAATAATTTTTAAAAAGGGCAATAACTGTTGAAAAGGATGTGGAGAAAATGAAACCCTTATATATTGCTGTAAATTAGTGCAGCTGCTAGGAAAACAGTTTGGAAGGTCCTCAAAAAGTTAAAAGATAGTTTCCATATGACCCAGCAATTCTACTCCTAGGTATACACATCCAAGAGAACTGAAAATGTGTTCAAACAAAAACTTATATGTGATCATCACTATTCAGAATCACCAAAAAGATGGAAACAACCCAAATATCCATCAAGTGATGAATGGACAAACAAAATGTGGTCTATCCATACAATGGAATATTATTTAGCCCTAAAATGGAATGAAGCACTGATATGAGTATGCTAAAACATGGATGAACCTTGAAAACATGTTTAATGAAAGAAACCAGACACAAAAAGCCACACACTAAAAACCACTGAATTATACGCTTTAAAATAGTGAATTTCATGATATGTAAATTCCACCTAAAAAAAAATTTGAGACATTCTGCAAAATAATTACCCAGTCCTCTTCAAAAATTTACAGTCATGAAAAATAAAAAAGACTGAGGAACAATCTCAGGTTGAAAGAGACTAAGGAGACTTTACAACTAAATGCAATATAGGAAACTGGACTGGATTCCAGAGCAGAAAAAGGACAGTAGTGGGACACGTGGCAAAATGTGAATACAGTCTAGTTAGTATCAATGTTAAATTTCTTGTTTAGATAATTTTAATATGCTGTGTAAAATATTAACATTAGGGAAAGTTGAGTAGGGAGTATACAGGAAGTGTGTGTATTCTTTCTGCAAGTCTAAAATTCAAAATAAAAAGTTTAAAAACATATGTGATGCAGGTCAGGGGCTGGCAAATTTTTTCTGTAAAGCACCATATAGTAAAAACTTCACACATGTGGACTATACATGATCTTTGGGACAATGATTCAACTCTGCTGCCAAAGACAATACATAAATTAACGAGTATGGACCTTACTTATGGACACTGCAATTTGTATTACAATAAAATCTTATTTAGGGACATTAAAATTTAATTTTCCTGGGCCGGCCGAGTGGCGCGATGGTTAAGAACTCGCTTGGGATGCCAGAGGGCCCCGGTTCGGATCCCACATATGAGGGCCAGTGACACTGCCCT